CGTTGCAATGTAATTGCTCCTATGTGTAATAACTACTTGATTGTTGGTATATATGTATAACATCATAATTTTTAAGTTAAACAACATGATTATGATAAACTTCATTAGTAATTAAGATAAATTTCATATAATGTTAACATTTTATCGCACTCTTCAAATTTTATTGCTACATAAGCGTTGCGAACAAGCTTTAAGCAGCATCCAAGGTGTTCTGTTATTGCTTTCTGTGTAACTTCCAGAAATTCAATAAAGCAATCTGGATGCCAGAGAAGCCTTTCGACGAAATAGTTTTTAGACTGAAGATCAATCAACAGAGTACGTGACAGAAATTTCGATAACATAATTTCGGTAATCGACAAATTAAAGCTGATAGGTGATCTGTAACAAATGAGCGTGGGCATCTAATCTGTGCTAAAAGTTTTAAAGGCACAGCCAAGCATTTGCAACCTTCGAATTCGTGACTTCAATTTCAATCAAAAGAAATGCTAACAAATATGTTATCAGAGAAATGGCGCGGAAATAAATATCAGTAAGCTTTACGCGAATTTCAGTCCTCTGAACCATCGTATCCACTGGTTAACAATTTAAAGTCCATATAAGTAGTTTTACTTCCTTGTACGAAGTAAAGAAAGTATTGTAATCGCGAAAAATTTTGGGGTGTCATATTTAGACGAAAATATCCATTTTGACCTCCATCGAATGGAATTAACGATGTTTTTGCGTAACATTTCTACGTAAGGATAGAATAAAAGACTCTTTTCCCCCAATACGGGTTGCCAAAAGGATTTAAAATGGATTCAGAAGAGATTTCTTTCCTGACGTCTGTACGTACGTATATATGTATGTATATATGTATGTATATAACTCAAAAACGATTAGCCTCAGAACGTTGAAATTTTATATATAGAACTGTAATAAAATGTAGTTGTGCACCTCTCTTTTTGTTTGCAATCGGCAAACCAAAAGTATATAAATATGTATACCTATAATATGACCACTCTGTTACTCGGATTCGTGGGCTCATTTTTTAAAATTATTCTTATATGTTGGTAAATTCTGCATTTTTTCTTTAAAAATGAATTGAATTACGTTGTTGCTTATCTTCCAGTTAAGGTTTTTATGCCTTTGGATAATCTGCATCCAATAGTTGCAGAATTATCAACAATTTAAAAGTTGTTCAAGTGCGGCTAAGCTATTTTTTTTTTTTTTTTTTTTTTTTTTTTTTTTTTTTTACCATAGCAGGCATATCTGTTTACATTTGAAACTTAGCGGAATAGTGAATTAAGTCTGTTTCTGCACCTTCAGTGTCTTTTTGTCCAGTGGAACCAAACGAAAACTTTCAGTTTTGTACACCCAATAATCTGCCTTCTTGACCGCTGGCCGAATTGGCTATTTTTGCGTAGAAAGTCCAATTCGAATTGCAGTTTTTTTATTTCTTTAACTGTATTTGGTGTTTATATTTTTCTATATATTTAAATTTTCAATAAAGATATTTTGAAGTCTTATGTATTTTTGCCTTGTAGAGAAGTGAGAACTGAATTAATTAAATGAGAAATATATCTTTAATGAAATTCGATGAAATATGTTTAAATAAAAGTGCAGAAAAAACTGTGTATAATTTAATATTCCGTACATGGAAATCATGGGGTTACATATCAGATTTTTTTTTTTTTAGCTGAAAATAAATTAAAACAAATATTACAATTTCGATTGATTTTGTAGTATAACTTTTGCAGGGATCCACAAAAGTAATAACTTTTACTATTTAACAGAAACACTACAGATGGATGTTTTCGAAATTCTTTTGAAATAAGAATAAAAAAATAAAAAAAGTCTTGTATTCTTATTCAGAGTACTTTATGTATTAAGTACATCAATTACAAACTTTTTTATTAATTACAAAATTATGTATTAATACATTAATTACAAAATTATATATTAATTACATTAATTACAAAATTATGTACTAATTACAAAAGGACAGATAAGCGTTTCAAAATCTTATAATAAGTTTTCAGCAATAAAAGCCGAACGATGTTTGAAATCGACATCGTGTTGAGTATTTAATAAAGATTCTCTCTCTTAAACATTGATAACAGAGAATGAACGCGACTAAGAACTTTTGAAGATTTTAACTGCTGTTATTGTATTTATTTAGTTTATTGGTTTTAGATGTTATGACTGCATGGTGAATTAAAATTCTGGTTTAAAAATTGTGCATTGCACTAGCATATTAGTAATTAATTTTTAACGCATATTGTAATATTGTTTTAATAGATGTTTATTGTAATTACAAAGTGCAAATTAACTGTAAAGAATTTTTTTTCAACAGCTAACCAATGAATCAAAAATTGATTATCAATTCTATTATCAATTATGGATTTTTAGTCCAAAGGGATTTGAATCCCGAAGGACTATTAAGTTTCGTTTTGGCATTTTGCGTCGGACTCATAAATGTCGGTTCACTTTTCAAACTGTTGCCACAAAATGTTAGAGTCCTGCATTATATTTGAAGAAATTAAATAATGAAAAATCTGCATAAATGTATGTATATTTCTCGTATTGTGATAAAACAACGGTACATAGAGTCATCGAATTTTGAATAACGTAATCCTCCAACGAATATGAGCATGTGGAAGACCAAATTTGAAATTTGAAATTTGTTTTATGATCGATTTCCTATTTTTTAAAACTTTGACGAATTTTTGATTAACAAACTCAAGGATTTCAAAGCGAGCAATGGCAACGTTGTGCAGAAAAAAAACATTTTTATCTCCAGCGCGTGAGTCTCTGTATCGGAAATTCTAAAGATATGCTCGTTTTAAAACTATTTTGCGATATTGCTGTTGCACTGGATCTTATGGTTTAAGTGCGAGGAACATGATATTTAATAAAGAAAGGTAACACACAAAATGGTAAAAAACGGCCCTTTGAACGTAATTTAAAATCTGAAACATTTCAGATTTTTTTTTTTTTGTAACTTTTTAATTACTTAAGCGAAAGAATTAATTTAACCGTTTTCTCAATGGCAACAAAAATGAATCTGCTGTTATCGCTCATCAAACATCTTCAAACATTAAGGAGATCTGAATGACTCATCACGCATGTAAAATACAATAATCAAGCAAGCTTGATTCGTGGAGGTTTAAAATGTTACTTGTGCTTCTTGGTCAACGGACTGATTACAGACCTTTCCATATTATCGTGGGAGAACAAAGTAAAAAATTAATACTGAGAGGGAAGAGAAAGGACCAGAGTTGCATTTAGACTTGATATTTCCCTAAGCTATTTCAGATATGAGGCCCTTTATTAGTTGGTTATACTATATCATACTTTAATTTGGGGAGAGGGCTTAATAAGTGGGCCCCTAAGCTATAGCTTGTGTAGCTTATACGTCAATCTTGCACTGGAAAGGACTGTTAATTTTTCTATAAAACTCTTTTCAAAGTGATAAGAAAAAAAGGTATGTAAAACTTGCTAACAAAGAGTAAATTCTCTTAACATTATTTCACATAAAAAACTTATTATTATAGTTTATGAAATCGTTGACAAAAAAGAAGCAATTGCTGTAAATATATCAGAAAATAAAGAACCTTTATGCACTCCTATCAAAAGCTAAGTTTTAAAAAGGTATTTCCGCTGGTCCAAATAGTAGGTAATTAAGTAGTAATTAATAGTAATTAAATAGTAGGAAATTAAGGAATTAAGGAAATTAAGGTTAGATAAAATTTTAATCTGTGGGGAATGATACTGAAAATGAACCTCGAATTTTCTGAAATAACAGTATTATTAAGCTTTTGCATAGAGGCACTGTGTCTGTAGCTGTAGTTCAAGATTCTCAGTAATTAAAAAGCTTAAATTTTCCTCACTTTTAACTATGACTTTTTATATTAGAAGCATCTTTAGCGCAGCTTTCCATTGGTACAGTAAGACTGTTGGAACATAAGTAGTACTACTTGGTTCCAATCCGTTTGCATGAACTGCTGGGTGCGAGAGTGTTTCCGTGCTTTTCCTCTTGTCTAATGTAAATAGACCCAGTTTCATACATATATCAGCCAATTGCTAATCAACTGGTGGAGACAGTTGCCAATCAACTTGGCAACTGTCTCCACCGCACGAGACTAGGAATCTTTTAGTTACATTCCCTTGTCATTAGCTACGTTTTAGAGTCATTAGATTTATTTCGGAAGCAAGAGAGAGTAAAAATATGCATTGCCTTCGCTGGGAATCGAACCGCGGACTTCTAGAATACGCGCCCATCGTGCAGACCAGCACACCACGAAGGCATGCCGAGAAGGCGGGGAGACATACCTTATAACGTTATTAGTCTTAAGTCACCATTAATAGGAAAAAATATCGGCTTCTTTAACTATGAAATGGGAATTTTTAAACTTTCCCTTTGAAAAAGTCTCATTATGACATATTTGTAATTCTAAACAAATAAATGATGAACTCTTTGAGATATACTCAAACCATCTCAAGTTAGTAGTTTCTCTCTCTATTGGTCATGAGTTGTTATTATTACGACCGCAATTACTGTATACTTCTCGTTAATACCGCAGTATTGCAGTTATCGAGTATGAGTAGAAAGAGGTGAAATTATGAATCTGAATATGAGTGTAATCAATTTAAGTACGATAAAATTTCCTGAAACATTACTTGCATTTATGTCATTTCATAAACAGTTTACTTTTCAAATCTAGATGCAAACCTTATATTTTATTTATATGTATATTTATGTATATTTATAACATTTTATGTATTATTATTATTGTTATTATTTTGCCTTTGGAGACGAATGTGATGAACATGCTTTAAATATATAGGTTTTGAAGAATGTTTACGTTCAAACTTATTTTCTTTAAATATAATCTGCAAGCCGCGAAATTTACTTAATAAGTATTTTAGCTAATGCATCATGCATATTTTAGTAAATTCTGATTTATTTGTAATTAAGAAGAAGATGAATGTGACAAATGACTTCTAATCTCTCTGAACAGATTACTGCCGAGGTTATCCCACAAGGTTTTGGCGTTATGATTACCCAAGTTTCCATCAGATGGAGCCACCAGCGATCACAGCGTCTGAGAATTCGTTGAAGAAATCCAACGGATCCTTCAGTCATTCTCATCTTTATTGATAGCTTTTGAGTGCTGATGAGTACGATCGTATCGGTATGGTGCTAGAAAGATAAATACATTGTCATTCTTAGTTTTTTCTCCTTGAGCTGAATAGAACAGATAATAAAACTAACTTTAAATGCAGTAATAGCTCGGACCAGAACCGGTGCGGCTTTTTTTGGCGGCAGATTTTAGAGGCGGGTAATTTTTTTTAAAATTAGAAATAACAAAATTTTTAGAATTTAAGGAAGGCAGTCGGCAGCAGAATTTAGGATCCACACTGGTTGGCCAAATACTAGCAACAGCCCTGCTAATAACTAGGACAAATAATAATTGCACCTGTCCGTCAGTTGGCGATTGTCATAATGCGTACCGGGAAGACAGACTACCAGAAGTTACTTAGTATCAAGTGTCTAAGCGAAAAAATAGTAGTAGTGTAATTATGTGAAATGCTTGTTAGATATCCTCTGATTTAACTTTTTTTAAACATGGGAAGCTTGGAATTAGCATTTAAACAAATCAAAGGAAACACTTTTGGTTTATCTTTCCATAATTTTTGTATAATTATGTAAGAAGTGTATAAATAATTCGCTTCTATAGTTGTCTCATTATTATTATTTGATTTAAAGGAAATAACAGACATAATATTAAATATTGATTATTTAGATTTTTTTAAATAGTTGGATGTTTTATCTCTTTTTTTTTTTTTTTTTTTTTTTTTTTTTTTGTGTGTGTGTGTGTGTGTGTGTGTTGTTTTTTTAGCTATGAATATAATTAATTCAAATTTAGTTATTTATGGATTAGTGATGTTAATTGTAAAATATGGCATTAAGTTACTTTTAGAATAAGCATACGCTTGTTGTTAATTTAGCCCCTTCGCGTCGACTGTCACGTATACGTGCCAGCAACGAACGCACTTATCTACCGGCCGACACGCAGGCGTGGCAGAGGATTGTTGCGTTTTCTACCGACTGTCACGTATTTGTGCCAGTACTTTGGAACGTTTTTCAAACTATAATTTCTGCCACAAGATGGCACTGTATGTCCATATGGTTTCAGATACATGTAAATTAGACCTTCTACTCGAAATGAGAGAAGCATGACTCACATACACGTGTTTTTGATTATATAAACAAACGGGGAAATAAATGTTTCCGAATGGCGTGATTTATGACGTCTCTTTAAATCGCACTTTATTCGCACGTGGTAGTTGTTTACTGTAAGTAGAGAAGTTTTATTTGCTCTAAAGCGTTGGGTATTTCGGTTTGCAGTTCAGTTTTTAGAAAATAATTAGATCTTGTTAGACGTGAATTCTTTGTTTTCACCGTTGCAATGTCGAAGCGTCGAAAATGTTTAACAGAGCAGGAAATAGCAGAAATGATGCAAAATATTTCAGATATTGATTCTGAAATTCTGATATTGATTCTGAAAGATTAACTGAAAGACATTTTCCAAAACTTTGTTCAGAAGAGACTGATAAGAAAATGAGACGACGATGCTTCGTTTGTTCACATTCCCGGAAAAATCCTCCAAACCGGCAAATGAGTTATTACGAGTGCAAGGAATGTAACGTAGGACTGTGTGTAGATCCCTGTTTTCAAATTTTTCATACGAAAAGAGAATTTTAAGTAATATATTTAGTTTTCAGATGTATAATGTTAAAATTCATAAAATGGTGAGTAATTAAAATAAAATGTGTAAAATATGCATTTAAACAAGAAATAAGGTAATTAAAGTATATATATAAAAATATTTATAAAGCATAAGCCGTTTAAATACTCTATAGAGCATTATTAAACAATGCGTTGATACTTCGGAAATTTCATGGATTTAGGCTTAGTAGCAAAAAAGCCCCCGGCCCTGGAGAGACGCTCGCGTAAGATATTGCCGGCCTCAGCGACAAGCGCGCGTTTTCGCTACCCGGCTCGAAGGGGTTAGAAAATGATACATATATTACTAGTAAATTTTCGTAACAAAATATCAAGAATTCCTTTTTACAGCAAAACTGATTGATAATAATTTAAAAATTCAGATTTAAACGTTAATGGTAAGAATAATGGAAATAGACCAACGCAAGACTAGTAGAAGCGTTTTAGCATAAAATAATAAACAAATATATAATCCAATATCCTGCCCCTACTTTCTGTAAAAAAAAAGAAAAAAGAAAAAAAAATCGTTTAATACAGTAAATAATTAGGAAATTTTCACGAAGCAATAGTTGTACTATTTCAGAGTTCTACATAGAACCTTATTCAGTACTATTAAATCCATAATTTGAATGATAACAGAGTATACATGCATTCTGTACGCATAATATATAATATATAGCACTGTTAAAACTTTTAGGTATCCTGTTATATATTTAATAGCAAATGCTATTTGTATAAAGAGCTTAAAGCGGCGAAGCTCAGCCATTTTTCCTTTTATATCTTTACTAGTCTAATTCAAATAGAAAATTCAGGAATATTTAAATTTCATATAAATTAATATAAAGTTTTAATTCAGGAATATTATTTAAGTCGATTCATCTACTTTTAAAGAAACATTAATCTTCTTTCAAAGACGAATCGTAATATGGTTCATAGTTCTTCTATGCAAAGTTCTCAGTTTCTAGGGAAAATGTTAATAATGTGGCTAAGTTACTTGAATACCATCTGGAACTGACTTTTACTGAGAGTTTTTTTTTTTTTTTTTTGTTTTTTTTTTTTTGTTGTTGTTGTTGTTAGTGTTGATTTAAGGCAAATGTTTTGATATCAGGGTATGATCTGTCTAAAACATGAAATAATCATTGAAAATAGGATTATAGATACCTATGTCTAGAAAATTATATAAATATATTTCTTTGCTTCATTGAGATGGCACGCATCCATTATGAAGTTTCCTGTAAATAGCTAAATACATGAATGTAGCTTGACCTTAATTTGTGAAATATTCTTTCTTCAAATATAATATTTTTTTTTTAATTTGCTGCATTGGTGATAAAACGGCGATCGCATTCCTAATGTTGTTGCTTATTATTCTTGCTTTCAATAAGACAAACTATTTTATTAATTTATCTAAAATATTTCTTGTACATTAAAAATATATTTATAACTTATTTGATAATGTTTTGCTGGTTAAAATGCATATATGCATATGCAAATTTTAAATGAAGATGAAATTCAGTAACTAACCTTTAGCAGATATCTCATTAATTCAGGCTAGTAACTGATTCGAATTTCGTGTAAAGTTTCACACATTGAAATAATAAATGTATTTCTGTACAGTTTATTCTGCAAAGATAATTTGTCGTTTGTAACCTAGGTTATATATACATTAGGAACAGATAATAATCAAGCAGACCTAATTAGTAATGTTAGAAAATTTCAATGTTATATTATTTTAATGTATATTACAATATGTATATAATAAACGAATGTATAATAAACGAACACATATTTTATGCTTAAAAAGGCCTCCTTAAAAATAATTACTATTTGTTAGTATAGGTTTTACTCTTTGCTTCTATATTTTAAGAGTTCGCATGCATTAATTACGTTTGCATTTAATTACATTATTTACTGAATTTTTTGTATATATTTTTATTAACATTTGTTTGCCATGACATTTGTATTTAAACAATATGAAGAAGTTTTAATTTGAATTTGATATATATTAGTGTAGGTATATTTTTATGTGTTGAAACTGAAATCAGTGTAATATGAATTGTATTTTATGTTATGTCTGTGACTACTTACGAACAATAAAGTACTTTATCTTCAAATATTTTGTTTCTTCTATGAACACGGCACTTATTATTCTTTCTTTAATATAAAAAGTTATTTTGTTACTATTTTAAAACTTTTAAATCAGAACTGTAATCACTCATAAAACTAATGAGAAAAATACTTGCGTCTGTAAAGGAAAAATGAATATAGGTTTAATTTTCTTATCAATGAAAATGAAGTGAGTAAAATATGTTTCATATGTTTTAGTTTATTTCTTATTGAGACATTATTTACAAAACAATGTTGGGTTGGTTTTACCTTGGAGTCTGAGAACAAACACACTTCACAAAATGGTTGAAATTCTTTAAGTCTAAGGGCAATGTAAACACTAGTCCAATAAACATTTTAAGCTTAACGTTTAATGAATAGTATCCACGAGTTTTACACAGTATGCAAATAGACGACAGGAATATGAATATTTACAGGAAATTTATCACAATCAAAGAAGAATAAAAGTTCTTTTTTTATAACGTCGTACAACTTCTTTATACGTCTTATTCATCTTTCGTTTCCTATTGCGGCCTCGTCTACTTTTTTTCACAAAGTACTTGTGTTGAAAGGAGTGCAGCTTCACCTGATGGTCATGGAAAATGACATTTCACAATAATATTATGTAAAATTGAGGAACATTAGCAGAAGAAATTCATATGACGTAAAAATGGACAAATAAGAGCTACAGAGACAGATATGTGTCTGTGGATGTATAGATGTCGGAACGATGGCGCGACTCCTTATGGTAATGGTGTTGGTTGCGCTTGTTAAGGTTGCGCATTACTTACCGCATATAGAATTAAAATACATTTAATACATATCTATTAGAAGTTTTACCAACAGTCATATATGTGGGTGTCTTTCTCCTTTACTTTAAGAATGACACCAATGTTAAGATTTAGTATTTTAATGAAAAAAAAAAGAAACATAGAAAGATGAAAAGAAGTAAGATAAAAATTTAGCTCCATAGCATAGGGTGGCATCACAATAGTGGTAATCCTCACACCAAATGGGAATGTTTGAAAGTCTCTTAACTACTACGTAATAGTTTTTAGGATCCGTTCACCACGTTGCTGTCGCAGCATCTCTCACGCGCAGAAGTGGAGAAGTCAACTTATCACACAGCTTCGAGAATCATCTATCTGCTGATGCGGTTGCCAGGTGCAGGAAGGAGAAAGGTGGATACGTTGTAAGATCGAATGTCCACACGGCCATTCTGCCTTGCCGGGCGTCCTCGCCAGGGGGTTTGATCTGAAAAGAAAAAAAAAAAAAAAAAAAGCAGAGAAAGTGAAAAAAAAATCAATGTCCAGGTGGCGAATGTTAGCCTTGTGCACCACCAGTTCATCTTATCAGTACAGGTTGATATCATAATGGTTCCTTCATGGCGTATCTTTCGTACTTCATAACGATCAGCTGAATGAACTTTCGTGATCTCATAAGGACCGAAAAATTTGGGAATGGTAAAATATATCGTCAAACAAATCTTCATATAAGACTATGTTAAGAATAAAAAATAGAATTTCACGTTAAGATATGATATCAAAATTAATAACTTAAAATAATATTGTACAGTCCGTGGAAAATATAGACATCACAAGAAATAAGAAATTTATGCATCAAATTCAAAAACGAAAGTAATTCTTTAAAGTAACTTTTTTAATATATCACAATTCTGTAAATAGTCAGTAATGTATTTCCATCAAATTCAAATACCTTTAGTTTATTCAATTAAACTTCATCAAAGCTGTTTAATTAATTCATCAACATCAAATTCGAAAACGGAAGTGTTAATTCTTCAAAGTAATAATCATTCAAAAATAAAATGAATTTTCATCAAAA